CTTAAATTCTATGATTCTATGATACCAAAAATCTGTAACTCTGCTCGTAGGAAATACGCAGCAGAATATCCTTTGCACAACTTTCAACTCTTTCAACTCTGCTAAAATCAAGGAGTAATCAGCTCTGGAGCATGTTACTAATGCCATGTCAGTAATGTGCTCAGCAATTAGAGGTATCCAAAGTATTTATAGGGCACAGCAAACAAAACGCAGTCGAGGAGCGCGGCCAGTGCAGACTGACTCAGCACACTCTCAGCCTGGGTTTGTTCAAAGAGCTGGTGCTTCATCACAAAAGAGTCAAAGATCTGTGAGGTGAAGGGATAACTCGGCATGACATCCTGCTGGACCCACTGGGCATGGAGTGGTGCCCACATAAAGTCACTGTTGTGGGATAGACTTTTACTGGTGATGAAGAAATAAGGGAATGAGGAAACCCCTTGATTCTCTGTGATCCTTCAGCCAGGAATAGACCAGCATCAAAGCTCTTCTCCTCTAGAATCAACCTATGAAGCGTTTAAGGTTGCAGGCTTCAGAAATTAATGTGTATTCCCAATCTTCCCTTTGTAAAACTGTCGTTAAGAAAATTCATTTTTAGGTCAGTGATGAAGTTCTGACAATTGAAAATCAGGAATAGATCCTGCCTGGAGTGACTTCTGATAAAGGAAAATGTTGTGTTTAAAAAACTTCAGTGAGGTGCCAGGTGTAAGTCCTGGTCTTGGGAGCTCCCTCTCCTCTCTGGGAGAGGCTTCCAGTGCAGAGCAGATGGGACTTTGGGCTCCAGTGGCTAATGTGGAAAGGTCAAACCTGGAATCTCAAAATCCAGCCCAGCATTGTATTTATCTCTGGGTACTTTGTTGGGTGCAATGACAAAACCAGGCCAAAACACTCATTTTGGGAAGATTTTCCTGTCTGCCTGTTTTACTCGTCATTTATTCCAGTTTTTGTTGGTTTTATGATTTAAGCTCTTGGGTTTTCATTAGTCATGGTGGTCTCCTCTCCTTTTCCCAACTGAAGATGTGTTCTCTGTTGCAGGCATCACTCAACAAGCTGATGGAGACCCTTGGCCAAGCAGAACCCTATTTTGTCAAGTGCATTCGATCCAACGCCGAAAAGGTAAATCCCATTGTGCAGAAGTGGTGCTTCTAAAAATCAGCTTGGGAGTCTTTTGGCAAGTCTTACAAGGGGTGAAAAAGAAAGGAAAGCCCCAAATGGAGGTGAATTTGGAAGACAAGAGCAAGGGAAGGAGGATGTTCTCACTCAGGTGTTGCTCTTGGTAAACTGCACATTTTTTTCTTGTAATTGTAGGAACATATATATGTTATTCTAATTCAGATGCAAATTATATTGGCTTGAATAAATGAGTTTGACTTCTCTGAAGCTCCTGCCACTTGTAACAAGGATTGACAGAGCTGTGAATCTACTTGTTCTGGGTCTGAGCCCTAAAGCTTAAAAGGAAGTTTCTATAGGTAAAGTCAGCTGTTTATTCAAACTGACTCCATGAGGCATCATGTTCCTTGAGTTTGGCTTTGGGTATTTGTCACATAGACTAAACACCCTCAGTTTCAAATGCAGGTTGCAGTAGTGATGCTTCCTTGTGGATTAATCCTTTTGAGTTTTACCCAGGCATTTAAAGCTGAAGATTTATGCCTTTAAGATTATTTAATTGCTCAAAATCTCACCCATTAGCTGTGCCCTTTGGGGGCGTCTTACTCAGTTCAAGGGCTCCAAAAAATCTTCTTTATGTCTTTATTTATCTAGTTACTATTTGAAAGTCTTGGAAGCAAACAGGATTCAATCCCAGTGGGATTAGTACAGTTCCTGGGGATCCATATTCCCTCCCCTCCTTAGCACTGT